TGGGCTTTCTTGCATCGCAAACATGGAAGCAGCACTCGAAGCGATCAGAAATCAATTGGAGAACATTGCTCGTGCTCAAGAAGAGCAAATAGCAAGGCTTGCCGAGCAAGCCACGAGGATGGAGGCTGTCGAGACAAGGCTCCAGCAGCCGGTTGTGGTCGATGCAAACCCTAACCCTAGACCTCGACAAGAAGAAAGGGGAAGGGAAAACCGAGCTCCTCCACCCTTGGTTCACGAAGTACAGCGTCATATGTGCCAGCATAGACGCCTTGGAATGCCTCGAGCTGAAAGGAGAGGGCGGCAGCAACATCATGAAGAGGAGTTTAATAACGAGGAAGAATAGGGCTTTGAGGAGGAGGATGATTTGTGAAACCTCAAGGTCACGATTCCACCTTTTCGCGGTACCACGAACCCTGATGCTTATTTGGATTGGGAGCGAAAGATGGAACTAGTGTTTGATTGTCATAACTACTCCGAGAAGAAGAAAGTGACATTGGCTGCCCTAGAGTTCTCGGATTATGCACTTGTTTGGTGGGATCAGTTGGGAACGAAACGAAGGAGAAACATGCAGCGTCCTATTGAGACGTGGGATGAGATGAAAGGAATTATGAGGGATCGGTTTGTACCGAGTTCCCATTTGCGAGATATGTATCAAAACCTCCAGCTTCTCCGGCAAGGAACTAAAAGCGTTGAAGATTATCACAAGGAGTTGGAAGTGTTGATGATACGTGCTGATGTGAGAGAGGACCGCGAGGCTACCATAGCTCGTTTTCTGTATGGTCTCAATCGAGAGATCAAGAACGTGGTGGAGATACAACCGTTCCTTGAACTTGAAGATTTGGTGGATATGGCAAGTAAAGTGGAACGACAGCTTCGAAATAGGAGGTTTCAACCCTCCATGAATTCCACACGTTCGGGCCAAGGAGTTGCAACCAACCCTAAGCCGCAACTGCCCGTGAAAGAAGCTCCTAGACCCGCGGCAAGGGCTGATGGTGCAAATTCAGTTATGAAGCAAGGTGGATCGTCGGGGGAAATTTGTTGTTTCAAATGCCATGGAAGAGGACACATTGCGAGCCAGTGTGCCAATAAGAAGACCCTGATCTTGCTTGATAATGGTGAGTATGTATCGGAGGAAGAGGAAGAGACCACCGATTCTGATGTCGATGAGTCTATGGAAATGGAACCACCTCCAGGCAGCTTGTTTGTAGCACGGAGAGTATTGTCTGTGCAGCCTAAGGAGGAGAGTGAACAGAGAGAAAATATCTTCCATACGAGATGTGTAGCTGATGGGAAGTTGCTGTCTCTAGTGATCGATGGAGGAAGTTGCACGAACGTTGTGAGCGCGTGTGCGGTGAAGAGGCTAGGGCTGCCTACGTTGAAGCATCCAAAGCCATACACGCTGCAATGGCTTAACGATCACGGATCCATCAAGGTCACAAAGCAGGCACTAATGAAGTTCGAGATTGGAGATTACAAAGATGAGATTTTGTGTGATATAGTGCCTATGCAAGCGGCACATGTGCTTTTTGGCAGGCCATGGCAATTTGATCGACAAGCATAGCATGATGGAGTGACAAATAAGTACAAGTTGCAACATGGAGGAAAGAAGTTCGTGTTGAAGCCTCTGTCTCTAAGTGAAGTATATCGAGATCAACTCCAAATGCAGCAACGTCGAGAGCAAGAAAAGGCAAGTAATGCCTCGGCCAAGAAAGGAGAAGAGGGAGCTGGAATTGTGGATTCGAAGGCAGTGATGCTAGCACGCAATGGAGATTTGAAGCAAGCTGCCTGTGCACGAGAACCTTTGATTGTGCTCATGTACAGGGACGTGCTGCTCAATCAAGAGCTAGTCCAAGAAGTTCTAGCCGAAGCAAGAGTGGTGTTGGATGAGTTCGAGGATGTGTTTCCAGAGGAAGCACCGAAGGGGTTGCCTCCTATTCGCGGAATTGAGCACCAAATTGATTTCGTGCCAGGAGCTCAAATTCCAAACAAGACAGCATATCGAGCTAACCCGGAAGAGACCAAAGAGCTGCAAAGGCAGATTGACGAGCTCATGGAGAAGGGGCATGTTCGAGAAAGTTTGAGCCCGTGTGCAGTTCCGGTGATTCTCGTGCCAAAGAAGGATCACACATGGCGGATGTGTGTAGACTGTCGAGCCATCAATCCAATTACAGTTAAGTATCGTCATCCAATTCCACGATTAGATGATATGCTTGATGAATTACATGGCTCTACGGTGTTTTCCAAGATTGATTTGAGATCAGGTTACCACCAAATTCGTATGAAGGAGGGAGACGAGTGGAAGACTGCGTTTAAGACCAAGTAGGGTCTATACGAATGGATGGTGATGCCCTTTGGTTTAACCAATGCTCCTAGCACGTTCATGAGGCTGATGAACCATATTTTGAGGCCATTCATTGGCAAGTTCGTGTTCGTATACTTCGACGACATTCTGATCTACTCAAAGTGCATGGAGGATCATCTCAATCACTTGAGAGAGGTGTTGGCGATGTTGAGAAAGGAGAAATTGTATGCTAACCTCAAGAAGTGCTTGTTTTGCACTTCTAGTGTTATTTTTCTTGGTTTTGTGGTGAGTGCAGATGGAGTCAAGGTGGATGAAGAGAAGGTGAAAGCAATTCGCGATTGGACTATTCCAACCAACGTGAATGAGGTGCGGAGCTTTCATGGGCTTGCTGGATTTTATCGTCGATTTGTGCCCAACTTCAGCACCATTGCCGCACCATTGACATACATCATCAAGAAGAACGTGATGTTCTATTGGGGAGAGGAGCAGACCAGAGCATTCGAGCTGCTCAAGCACAAGCCCACGCATTCACCTATTCTGATGTTGCCGGATTTCAATAAGACATTCGAGGTGGAGTGTGATGCTTCTGGTTTGGGAATTGGAGCAGTGTTGATGCAAGAGAAGAAGCCGATTGCTTACTTCAGCGAGAAGTTGAGTGGGCCTGCCCTCAACTATTCGACGTACGACAAGGAGCTTTATGCTCTAGTTCGAGCCTTAGAGACATGGCAGCACTATCTTTGGCCGAAGGAGTTCGTGATTCACACTGATCACGAGTCGTTGAAGTATTTGAAAGCTCAACACAAGCTGAACAAGAGACATGCTCGATGGGTTGAGTTCATTGAGTTCTTTCCATATGTGATTAAGTACAAGCAGGGCAAAGAAAATGTAGTTACTGATGCCCTATCTCGAAGACATTCGTTGATCACGACAATGGGGGTGAAGTATTTGGGTTTCGAGCATATCAAGGAGCTCTATTCTGATGATGCTGACTTTGGGGAGATCTATAGAGCTTGTGAGCAGCATGGCGATGGGAAGTTCTATCGAAGTGATGGCTACTTGTTTCGAGCTAACCAGTTGTGTATTCCTCGAACATCACTTCGAGAGTTGTTGTTGAAAGAGGCTCATGGAGGAGGCTTAATGGCACATTTCGGTGTAGACAAGACGCTGAGTTGTCTACAAGCGCACTTCTATTGGCCGCACATGAAGGGAGACGTGGAGAATCTGTGTGCACACTTTATCCCATGCCATAAGACTGACGATGCAGTTAACGTGGCTGATTTGTTTTTCAGGGAAGTGGTGCGATTGCATGGGATGCCGCGTTCCATAGTATCCGATCGAGATACTAAGTTTCTGAGTTTCTTCTGGAAGACGTTGTGGAGAAAACTGGGGACGAAGCTGTTGTTCTCTACTACATGTCACCCTCAAACCGATGGGCAAACAGAGGTGGTCAATCGAACATTATCCCAGATGCTTCGAGCTGTGATCAAGAGCAACATCAAGGTGTGGGAGGACTGCCTTCCCCATGTAGAGTTTGCTTACAATAGGATGGTGCACTCGACGACGAAGTTCACTCCGTTTGAGCTCGTGTATGGTTTCAATCCACTCACTCCTTTGGATTTGATGCCATTACCTTTGAATGAGCAGGTCAATCTCGATGGAGCCAAGAAAGCTGAGTTCGTGAAGAGTTTACATGAGAAGGCGAGATTGAACATTGAGAGAAGGACGGAGCAGATCATGCGCAATGTGAACAATAACAGGAAACCGAGGCACTTTGAAGTTGGCGAATGGGTGTGGGTACATTTGAGGAAGGAGAGGTTTCCCCAGCAGAGGAAATCGAAGTTAATGCCCGGATGTGATGGTCCTTTCCAGGTGGTTTCGAAGATTGGAAGCAATGCCTACAAAATCGACTTGCCGGGAGAGTATGGAGTAAGTGCAACGTTTAATGTTTCTGACCTTGCACCTTATTTGGATGGCAATTCGGATTTGAGGGCAAATCCTTTTGAAGAAGGAGGGGCTGATGAGGACATCAATGGGCCAGTCACACGTGCTAAGGCAAGGACGTTGAAGGAGAAGCTTGCGACATATTTGGATAGCTACTTTGGAGCCATGGATGTGGAGCTATTTCGAGGGAAGCCATATATGGTGATTCGAGTGGAGGAAGAAGGAGGAAGTGCTGAAGAGAAGGCAGATTGCAAGAAGCAGCCTTAACGGGTTTGCTTAACGGGTCCAACCTTAACGGGTTTACTTAACGGGTCCAGGCTTAACGGTTTGGGCTTAACGGGTTTGCTGGGCTGTTTCCGAGTTTCCTTGTTTTAAAGTCGGTTTATGATTGTTTTTCTATGTTGGAGTCGGATTTGGGTTGTATTTTGCCTATTTAAAGGGCTGAACACGTTGGTTTTACTCTTAGACGATTATTATTGAATTTCAGAGGCTAAAGCCGAGTTCCCTACGCGGAATTTGCCCTAATTACTCTGTCGAGAATCTCCAGAGTGCTAGAGCGACTCTTATCAGCTAGGTAATCACCCTGGTTGTGGCGAGCTACCCATATCGATTGCCCTTTATTCCGAGTTGAATCTGTCCGATCGATTCATATATCGGTTGCCCTTATTCACGGGTGAGTACTGTCCGATCGATTTCCATCCTATTCGGTTCTGTTTGGTTCGAGAAGGTTGACCCTGCGCAACTTTGATTATATCAGAGTTGTGGGAGTAGGACGGGATTTTATTGGTGTCGATGCCCGGTCTACATTAAGGTAATTTGAACTCAAAATTCCCAAGTCTCATGAGTGTTTGATTATGATATGCAAGGGCTGTGATCTCCCCTGTGCGAGCTGAAATGTGCTATTCTTGGCAATTTCCTTGGTACTTCGTCATTAAGATTGAACTAATTATTCAAATGTCTCTAATCGGCTTCCAATATTCAGCTTCCTGTCATGATTGTCTTGTTTTCTGTTTTACAAAGCCGCTGTTGGGTTTGACACTACGTCTTGATATGCTCCATTCTTTGAGAAAATGTCTGATGAAAGTGCTGTTAATTTTGCCTTATGTCATGATCATCTTGATTTTGCAGGATACTTGTTTATCAAGGAAGGGCATTGGGTTTGACTGGCTAATCTTAATTGGTGTAACATCCCGTTCCGGAAAAACCCATATTTCGATCGCTAGAAAGTTCGCGATTTAAAATCGAGCATTTCGGCACTATTTCGATGAAAATCGGATTATCGATCGATCGGATAAGTATACGTATTAATTAATTAATTATATATATATATTCTGTCCATTTAATTCCCTCCCCCGTCTCAACTTTCCAGAAACCATTCCACTTCTTCCTTATTTCCATTTTCCGGACCGAGAGAAGCAGATTCAGGGGAACTCGAGGGAAAAATTTCACAGCTCAATTCTTGAGCTCTAGTAGCCCAAAAATCCCGTAAGTAATGCCTAATTCATCTATACATCGCGATTTATCGATTTAGAGCTTTAAAACGAGTTTTTGGTTCAGGAATTTCTTGAATTCCCGATAAGCCAAATTAGGGTTTCGGAGTATCCGGAAGCCGGATTGAGCCCAAATTTCATATACGAGCTTCCTGCAGCGAGGTAATCAATCCTCTAGTTCTAATCCCTGAATTTCGGCTATTATTTAGGACGGGGTCCAAATCGCTGAATTTAGCTCCGGCCAGGGTTTGATGTGTTTTTATCAAGAATTTGATCCTGAGCCTAGAACTAATATTGACGGGGATACTGCAGGGGATATTAGGACGGTCTCGGATTTTAATTCGGGGTTCGTTCTTGAAATTGACGTTTTAGTACGGGAGGCTAGAACCGGTGTTTGAACGACCAGAACTGGTGAGGGATTAGCACGGCATACCGGGTTTGTCGTATCACGATAATTATATTGATGCTTAGAATTGACCTAGGTGAACTAGAATGGCATGATTAGGGGTGTATGGACTTTTGTGCTATATGATGAACCCTGGACTGCTATATGATATTATTGACTTACCCTAATCGATATGGACCTTGTTTATGCTGATGATTGTGTATATGTTGCAAATTGTGGGCTTGACTGTTAATATGCTTTATGATGGTTCGAGAAGGTGATTAGGTATGATTTTCATGATTGTTGTATTTGGATGCACAAGTGGGAAAATATATATTCCCTGGTGACATTATGATGTTTAAGGAGGATGACTTGCACGAGGGTTTATCCCGAGGAAGTGCAATTATACGACTCCTGGTTTACCTATGTTGAGCCAATTGTGGCCAGATCAAGTTCATGTGTAAGTAATGAATTATGATTAAGCAAGATGAGATATGAATCATGTATAAGGATACCAAATATGAGTGTTGTGGTCTCACGGTCAACTACATAGTAATTAGGGCTCCCTATGCTATTACTCTATTATGATATGTATGATAGTCACACCTCTCATGTGGTGGTGACTGAAGAATTCTTACGAGATATGACCACACCCAGAGCGGTGTCGGGGTATGACTACACCCATAGTGGTGTGGGGTATGTATGACCACATCCGAAGGGATGTTGGGGTATGTATGACTACATCCGACGGGATGTGGGGTATGTTTCCCGGGAGAGTTATTAGCATGGGAGTAGCCAGGCGCCTATGAGTAATACATGATAAGACGCATATGCATAAGTCAAAGTGGTTGAGTCTTTTTCCCATTGGGATATGAGGATGGCTGAGGTCTGATCCTAGTGTTTTGGCTTGATTGCTAGATGTATGGTAGGGGTATGCTCTGTTATGAACTCACGATGCTATGATTATCTCACTCAGCTATGAGCTGACCCTCTTTTATTCTTTTTCTCTGCTTATGCCATGTGTAAGTAGATCATCATCAGCAGCAGTAGATAGGTGTATAGGTGGGAGCTTAGCAAGAGTTGAAGGCAAGATGAGGTATGGTCTTCAACTATTCTGTGCTTGGACGACTACTTGAGATTTTGGCCAGTGATCCACACCTTTTTGTAAAAATGTTTTGAGAACGTTTTTCATGTGCATACTAGCTTCTGATGTAGTGTGAGATATCCACAGGTGTGGAAAGTTGATGATATGTGTATATTGTGTAATTATGTAAGTTGTGATGATTATAGCATGTATCAGTATAGTATGCAGTTGTGTAGTATGAAACTGTGCCTATGGCTATGAAAAGCCAATGCATATGGCAGTGAGTGTATATGTTTGTCTATGAATGCATGGATTTAGATGAATTATTTTGCAGGATCAGATGGAAGAACTGTTAGCCCATTACGCAAGTAATTCATGTCGAAATTTTATTTGGGTAAATTTTGATAATTAATGTAACACCCGAGATAAATTCCGCTGCAATTGTATGAACAATATGATTAGGTTAAACGTATAGGGTAGGGTGTTACAGTTTGGTATCAGAGCTGGTTTGTTTTCTGCATTATGGGTATGTTACTTTCACTCTTGAGGACTGATCACCCTCAAAAGGGCAGGAAGTACTCCATACCTGTATTTGCACTAAAATTTCCAGGATTGGGACCAAAGGTGATGATGTGTTGCATAGTCAATTGCATATGGTCAAACATGATTTTGAGTATTTGAAGTATTCTTGAAATTTTATGGTTTAAGAGATTTTTGAAAATATGTGGAAATTTTATCTTGTTGTCCAAGTAATGATTTTGAAGAAAGTTTTGTTTCAACCAAGTGGTGTGTGGATCAAAATAAGGCCAATGTTTCCTTGTAGTTTGCACAGAAGTACGTTTAGTGTTACTACTAACCCGTCGAGAAGCATGGTGGCTAGCTATGCAATGCAGTTGATCTTCGACTATGCTAACATGACGAGTTGTTGTGGTAGAGTTTTTAATATGGATATGATTCTTGATGCAGTGGTGACAACCATTTTGTAGGTTGATATAACCTTGTGTTAGTGGCAACCTACCTTGCAGGTTAATAACTTGGTTTAGTGAATTATGCTTTCGAACTTGTTGATGTGCTTTTGTTGTGATAGCCCAGTGTAGGTTTTTGAAACCTTATATTGGGAACTTGAGATGTTATGTGTTTAGTTATGTAATTTAGATCTCCTAACCTAAGAGTCAGGTAATAACCTTAGGGTAAGTAAGCAGAGTAAGGGTACAACTCAAGGTTAGATTTCGGGGACGAAATCTTTTTAAGGAGGGGAGAATTGTAACATCCCGTTCCGGAAAAACCCATATTTCGATCGCTAGAAAGTTCGCGATTTAAAATCGAGCATTTCGGCACTATTTCGATGAAAATCGGATTATCGATCGATCGGATAAATATACGTATTAATTAATTAATTATATATATATATATATATATTCTGTCCATTTAATTCCCTCCCCCGTCTCAACTTTCCAGAAACCATTCCACTTCTTCCTTATTTCCATTTTCCGGACCGAGAGAAGCAGAGCTTCAGGGGAACTCGAGGGAAAAATTTCACAGCTCAATTCTTGAGCTCTAGTAGCCCAAAAATCCCGTAAGTAATGCCTAATTCATCTATACATCGCGATTTATCGATTTAGAGCTTTAAAACGAGTTTTTGGTTCAGGAATTTCTTGAATTCCCGATAAGCCAAATTAGGGTTTCGGAGTATCTGGAAGCCGGATTGAGCCCAAATTTCATATACGAGCTTCCTGCAGCGAGGTAATCAATCCTCTAGTTCTAATCCCTGAATTTCGGCTATTATTTAGGACGGGGTCCAAATCGCTGAATTTAGCTCCGGCCAGGGTTTGATGTGTTTTTATCAAGAATTTGATCCTGAGCCTAGAACTAATATTGACGGGGATACTGCAGGGGATATTAGGACGGTCTCGGATTTTAATTCGGGGTTCGTTCTTGAAATTGACGTTTTAGTACGGGAGGCTAGAACCGGTGTTTGAACGACCAGAACTGGTGAGGGATTAGCACGGCATACCGGGTTTGTCGTATCACGATAATTATATTGATGCTTAGAATTGACCTAGGTGAACTAGAATGGCATGATTAGGGGTGTATGGACTTTTGTGCTATATGATGAACCCTGGACTGCTATATGATATTATTGACTTACCCTAATCGATATGGACCTTGTTTATGCTGATGATTGTGTATATGTTGCAAATTGTGGGCTTGACTGTTAATATGCTTTATGATGGTTCGAGAAGGTGATTAGGTATGATTTTCATGATTGTTGTATTTGGATGCACAAGTGGGAAAATATATATTCCCTGGTGACATTATGATGTTTAAGGAGGATGACTTGCACGAGGGTTTATCCCGAGGAAGTGCAATTATACGACTCCTGGTTTACCTATGTTGAGCCAATTGTGGCCAGATCAAGTTCATGTGTAAGTAATGAATTATGATTAAGCAAGATGAGATATGAATCATGTATAAGGATACCAAATATGAGTGTTGTGGTCTCACGGTCAACTACATAGTAATTAGGGCTCCCTATGCTATTACTCTATTATGATATGTATGATAGTCACACCTCTCATGTGGTGGTGACTGAAGAATTCTTACGAGATATGACCACACCCAGAGCGGTGTCGGGGTATGACTACACCCATAGTGGTGTGGGGTATGTATGACCACATCCGAAGGGATGTTGGGGTATGTATGACTACATCCGACGGGATGTGGGGTATGTTTCCCGGGAGAGTTATTAGCATGGGAGTAGCCAGACGCCTATGAGTAAAACATGATAAGACGCATATGCATAAGTCAAAGTGGTTGAGTCTTTTGCCCATTGGGATATGAGGATGGCTGAGGTCTGATCCTAGTGTTTTGGCTTGATTGCTAGATGTATGGTAGGGGTATGCTCTGTTATGAACTCACGATGCTATGATTATCTCACTCAGCTATGAGCTGACCCTCTTTTATTCTTTTTCTCTGCTTATGCCATGTGTAAGTAGATCATCATCAGCAGCAGTAGATAGGTGTATAGGTGGGAGCTTAGCAAGAGTTGAAGGCAAGATGAGGTATGGTCTTCAACTATTCTGTGCTTGGACGACTACTTGAGATTTTGGCCAGTGATCCACACCTTTTTGTAAAAATGTTTTGAGAACGTTTTTCATGTGTATACCAGCTTCTGATGTAGTGTGAGATATCCACAGGTGTGGAAAGTTGATGATATGTGTATATTGTGTAATTATGTAAGTTGTGATGATTATAGCATGTATCAGTATAGTATGCAGTTGTGTAGTATGAAACTGTGCCTATGGCTATGAAAAGCCAATGCATATGGCAGTGAGTGTATATGTTTGTCTATGAATGCATGGATTTAGATGAATTATTTTGCAGGATCAGATGGAA